TGCTTCTACTCCACGACTTACTACTACATACTGCTGTGCTGCTGCACTACTACTGCTACTAATACTACTACTACTACTACTACTACTACTACTACTACTACTACTACTACTACTACTACTACTACTACTACTACTACTACTACTACTACTACTACTACTACTACTACTACTACTACTACTACTACTACTACTACTACTACTAGTAGTACTACTACTACTACTACTACTACTACTACTACTACTACTACTACTACTACTACGACGACTACGACTACGCGTCTTCCCTGGAGGCGTTTGTCCGACCCAAACACACACAGTAGAATCATCTTGTCGTAGATCGTTTCCCGAACGGTGTGGCCAGAAAGCGCCCGCCACAGAGCTTATTCTATGAGATTCCTCGGCGTGAGCGTCGCTCCTGGGGGGGGCGACGCACACATAGTATCAGTCTGTCGGTGTGACGCCGACGCATCCATCATTTCCATGCCCTCCCCTGTGACTCTGGCGTTCCAACCCTGTCGAGCTGGGCGTTTTCGCCCGGCTTCGGGCCCTGGAATCATCACAGATCGGCCTGGCTCGGAAAGTGGCGCAGAAAGGTGGTGACAGCGGCTCTGGTCGTGATTGTGTGGACGCTTTCGTAGACTCGGCGCTTCGGCAGTGTACGAAGGGGGGAGGGTGGAGAGGGGGGGGTCTGGCTCCAGACCTCTGATGAATGCGACTGTTTGCAACAGTGAGTCCCATGGGGGAGACTCCAACTGCGTGTGGGCCATGATCCCGCGGATGCGCGGCCGCACGCACACCCAGACCCCCGACGCCATGATTTTTTGTCATAACGTCGACACCCAGTCGGGAGCGGCAAAGAGGGGGGTGTTCAAGAGGGGGGGGTGCAAATCATCACCTCCTAGTCATCACACCCCTTGTCCTCACCCTAGTCATCACCCCCCTCTGTTCCGCCCCCGACCCAGAGGTCTCGACCCATTCCCCGGGACCAGTTTCTCGTCCCGAGTCGTTTCTGGACGGCCCCGAGGCCCGGCAAGGGCCCCCAGATGCCGGAAATGGCGAAAGCCCCCCCGTCGCGAATTGATCCTTACTCGAAGGAGTCTGGGCACGCTCCGCGCGGGGCATCCTCGAAGAGAGACCCCGTATCCGCGGGGTCGCGGCCCAGGGGCCGGCCCGCGAGGCCGCGGCCGCGTGCTTCGCCCACGGCGTGTCCTGCATGCAGGGCAGCCGTAGAGCGCGACGCCGAGGCCGAGGGCGCAGGGCTGCTGCTTCCCACGGAACTTCTCCTCCGCGAAGCGCTGTGCCTGGCTGGCGCACGTCCCGTTCCTGAGGGCGCCCACGTAGACAAACGCACAAAAAAACGCCACATACACACACAGCAAACAACCACAACAACAGCCATAACAACAACAACCACAACAACAACAACAACAACAACAACAACATCAACATCAACAACAACAACAACATCAACAACAACAACAACAACAACAACAACAACAACAACAACAACAACAACAGCAACAGCAACAGCAACAGCAACAGCAACAGCAACAACCACAACCACAACCACAGCAACAACAACTGCAACAACAACAACAACAAACAACAGCAACAACACGACAACATCGACAACAACACCAGCAACAACCACAACAGCAGCAACAACGACGCATGCCCAACAAATTCTCCACGTAGGGCGACGATATTTTGTGGCATATGTACATCTATACAACCATACGTACACATATAATCATGCATGCGACTGACATTAGTTGCCTAACAATGACGGGTCCCGCTCGGCGCACACCTGCAGCAAGAGTGGGCCCTTAAGGACAGCGCCGCGCGCTACGTGGCGTCCTGGCGCTCTGCGCCCTGTAATGTGACAGAACAGCGCGCTAAATGACGCGACGGCGCAACGCGCCATGCGGGCACGTGCCATGTGGACGCCCTGAACTCCATTGGACCGACCAGGAGCCCTTGAAAAAGGCGACTGCTGCGCGGTTCGCAGCCGTCCAGGGAGCCGCAAGGTCTCGGCCAGATGCGCGTGCACCACCACTCCGCTGGACCGACCAGGAGCCCACAAAAGTGACGACGGTTGCTCACTTCGCAGCGAAACAGGGAGGCGCGAGGTCTCGGCTGGATGCACGTACACCTCCACTCCGCTGGACCCCCCAGGAGCCCACGGAAGTCGCGAGGGAGCCGCGAGGTCTCGGCTGGATGCGAGTACACCACCACTCCGCTGGACCTACCAGGAGCCCACAAAAGTGGCGACAGTTGCTCACTTCGCAGCGAAACAGGGAGCCGCGAGGTCTCGGCTGGATGCGCGTAGACCTCCACTCCGCTGGACCGACCAGGAGCCCACCAAAGTGGCGACGGTTGCTCAGTTCGCAGCGAACCAGAGAGCGCCGAGGTCTCGGCTGGATGCGCGTACACCTCCACTCCGCTGGACCTACCAGGAGCCCACAAAAGTGGCGACGGTTGCTCAGTTCGCAGCGAACCAGGGAGCCGCGGGGTCTCGGCTGGATGCGCGTAGACCTCCACTCCGCTGGACCGACCAGGAGCCCACGAAAGTGGCCACAGTTGCGCAGTTCGCAGCCTCAGAAGGAGCAGCGCAGGAGGCGGCAGCAGGGGGAGGAGAGGAGGAGTGCATACCACGGTACCCCCTACAAACCGAGAACCCAACGCAGGAGAGCTGAAACAAAGAGATAGAAACAAAGTCAGGGATCCCCCTTCCACATCTTCAGGATTCTCGCCTTCCGTTCCCCCTCCATGTCTGTCCCATCCCTCCACGGGAATCGACGATCCGTTGTGTCTGTGCCACTTTGTTCCTCCTGGGTTCCTGCCGTCCAGCTCGCAGGGCTGCTGGCACTCGTCTGCCGGCGCGTCGCGCTGGCTGCTCCGCACGTCCGCCTCCAGGGCCTTCAGCGCGGCAAAGGGGACGGGCGGCTCGGTCTGGCTGGCATGGCCTCCCGCGTCCGCTCGGGAGGCGCAGCCCCGGCTCTCGAAGTCGCAGGCGGAGGCCTGCTCCCTGCAGGCAGGGCACTGGACCATGACCACGTCGTGGGCGGAGCGGCAGGGGTCCAGGTACGATGAGGAGGCGAAGGCGTCCGCCATCCACTGCACCACGGCCCTGCAGGGTACCGTGGAGTTGCCATAGCTGCACTGCGCACGGCAGCCTGGGTCTGGCTCGGACTCGCACCCGCGGAGCTGGTGCGAGCAGCACCAGGCCTTCTGGGGAAACCGGATTGCATCGATACCGCTACTCTCCAGACCTCTCCTGGTGTGCGTTCTGGCCGCGATCTCGAAGTGAACCGAGCCGTGGCGACAAGGTCCTCCAGTGAGGCACACACACACACACACACTGTGGCCAAAAAGAAGCAAGGGTAGCGGTGTTGATACCTCCTCCTCCTCCTCCTCCTCCTCCTCCTCCTCCTCCTCCTCCTCCTCCTCCCTCCTCCTCCTCCTGTCCTCCTCGTCCCCTCCTCCTCGTCCCCTCTCCTCCTCCTCCTCCTCCCTCTCCCTCCCCCTCCTCCCTCCTCATCCTCCTCCTCCTCCTCCTCCTCCTCCTCCTCCTCCTCCTCCTCCTCCTGATTGTTTCAACACGGTGTCCCCGGGAGTCCCGACCCTTCCCACAGGGCCCGTTGTTCATTTCTTGACGCTCCCGGGGCCTGGCGAGGGCCCCCAGGGGTCGAAAACGGCAAACAAAAGCGGCGTCGGTACACTCCCCTCCTCTGACCTTCTTCTCCGCGCTCCAGGAGCTGCTCCAGTCCTCGAGCCCCTCGCTGCAGTCGTGCTCCTGTGGGGGCCGTCTAAAGGGGGGGGGAGGCCAAGAGAAAGGGGGGGGGTGCTCATCGTGGCCCGAGGTAGGCACGCGGACGACAAGGGGGCCAGGAAACGTGCCGAAAGAATGCGAGGGGGGCTACAGGGCAGTTTTTAATACATGGGATGTTTAAAAATATAAGAAGTCGAAATACATGATCAATGTATGAAGAAATGTATGCATGAACTCATCGTTGTTTTAATACTAAATCCATGCATGTTTAATACATGATCCGCACGCGGAGCATGTATTAAAAACGGCACTGTATGACATCTGGGAGCTATAACAGCCCCCCAGCCACTGTATCCCCCCCCCACACTGGCCATCCAGAGGCCTCCCAGATGGTGTCCGAGCAGATGGGATCGAAAGATCGCGCCGTCTCGTCGATGCATCACCGAGGCATCGGCGACGCATCCGCGACGTCGGCGAGACATCGGCGACGTCGGCGTGCAGAAAGTCGGGCCCCACATCGAGCCGCATCGCCGATGTATCGGCGATGCGGCGCGATCCTTCGGCCCCATCCCCCTTTGTCGTCCCCCCCTCCCTCCCTCGCTCGCTCCACCTCGCCTCGCCTCGCGCCCTCGCCCGTCGTGCGCCCCTGCGTTCTTCTCGCCCTTCGCCCCTGCTCTTACCCAGCCCCCCTCAAGGCAAATTCATCCAACGTGTTGCGCCTGCCGACGCGCCATTGGGAGTCAAATTGGGAGCACGGCCGCCTGACCTGACCCTGGTCATCACTCCCCTCCGTGGCCGCCCCCGATCCTGCGGCCGCCAGCAGGCCGGGAGGGATGAGGCCAGATCCGTTCAGAATCAGTCCCTGGACCCCTCCCGGGGCCCATCTGGTGCAGCTGTTCGCCCCGGATCCGTTTCTGACGGCCCCGGGGCCCGAAAACGGACCCCGGAGGCCGAAGAAAAAGCAGAACCTCGACCCTGGCTCAGATCGGGCATGTCCTCCTACAGGCGGATTTGGGAGGCTAAACGAAAAATGCGCCAAAACATAAACAGAAATAGTCAAAAAATGATAAAAACAAATGGTCCCCAAGCTGTTTTTGAAACTACTTTGGAATATTCCTCCTGTAGCGGGGCACGACAGACTGAACACCAGGCACCCCCCGTCCTGCTGGCCAGAACCAAGGCTGGGCCGCCTCAGACCCGACTCCAAAACCACCCTCGCCCGGCGGCCACCACTCCACTCTGGGTCGCCCCGAATCCTGCGGCCGCCCGCTGGCGCCCGCGGCCTCCGCCGAGCCGTCGTCCGCCAGTCGTCGTCGTCGTCGCCAGTCGTCGTCGTCGTCGTCGCCGTCGTCGTCGGCGCCGCCGTCGTCGCGTCTCTCGTCGTCGTCTCGTCGACGTCGTCGCGTCGACGTCGTCGTTCGTCGTCGTTCGTCGTCGTCGACGTCGTCGTCGCCGGTCGTCGTCGTCGTCGTCGTCACGTCGACGTCGTCGTCGTCGTCGTCGTCGTCGTCGTCGTCGTCGTCGTCGTCGTCGTCGTCGTCGTCGTCGTCGTCGTCGTCGTCGTCGTCGTCGTCGTCGTCGTCGTCGTCGTCGTCGTCGTCGTCGTCGTCGTCGTCGTCGTCGTCGTCGTCGTCGTCGTCGTCGTCGTCGTCGTCGTCGTCGTCGTCGCGGTCGTCGTCGTGGTCGCTCCTGCGGCCGCCCCTCCGCGGCGGCGGCGGCGCCGCTGGGCCGCCCGGGGCGCAGCTCGCGGGGCTCCGGCAGGGCGGCGCTCCGCGCGGCGGGGGCGCCCGCGGGCGCGGGGCTGCTCCTGGGCACCTGAGGCGCCACGAAAACATCAACCTCCTCCTCCTCCTCCTCCTCCTCCTCCTCCTCCTCCTCTCCTCCTCCTCCTCCCTCCTCTCCATCTCCTCCTCCCTGTCCTCTCCTCCTCCTCCTCCTCCTCCTCCTCCTCCTCCTCCTCCTCCTCCTCCTCCTCCTCCTCCTCCTCCTCCTCCTCCTCGTCCTCCTCCTCCTCCACCTCCTCCTCCTCCTCCTCCTCCTCCTCCTCCTCCTCCTCCCCAGAGGCCAAGGTCACCCGCGGGGGGCGCGAAGAGAATCGCGCACCGCGCGTCGGGGCCCGGGCCGCGAAGGCGCTCTTCTCCGGGGCGGCCGCGCTCTTCTCCCAGGGAGGCTGGCGAGCCCGAGAGAGATGCGGCGGTCGTTAAGCAATGTGCCCAGGAGGTTCATTCGGACCTCGTGGACCTACTTTGGAGCAAAAGGGGCTCCGCTCCTGATGTATCGTCCCTTCGGTCAGGCCGAACACTGCCTGGGAAAGTGGAGGGGAAGACGAGCATCCAGGACATACGGTGGGGGCGTTGCTTAAGGAACGTGCACGGGAGGCGTCAGACCCTGGAGGGTTCCTTATCCAGTGAGGCCACATGCGAACCCTACCCCTACCCCGCACGATTTCTGAGGGGGAGGGTGGGGTTCACTTCGTGCGGGAGCTCCCAAACGAAGTGAACCCCACCCTCCCCCTCAGAAATCGTGGGGGTAGGGGTAGGGTTCGCATGTGGCCTCCTAAGGAGGCTGCAGACCCTGGAGGGTTCCTTATCCAATGAGGGCGGCGGTGATGTCCATGGCCAGTCCACGATTGGAGCCCCACTGGCTTCCAGACCCTGGACTCCTTCTTGAAGGGTTCCTTATCCAATGCCCTCACCGTATACACAGACACCCTCCGACGAGCTCTGCGTGTGCCTGCAGGGAGGGCGGCGGCGTAGAAGGTCGCTGGCTCTCGGTGGTAATTGGTGCACCGCCACCCTCCCCTGACGCCCTGGGGGACAAATGCATTGGAGGGTGTCCGTGCATCTTTGTTGGCGGGTCTGAGACTGGGCTCCCTTTGGATTGCTGTTTGGCGGCGCGCACAAGGGAGAAGGGGGCGGGGGGGGAAGGCTTCTCCGAAGGAGGCTGCTTCTGAGAACGCGCTGGCCCTGCAGCTACAGACAGGGCCCGCGCCTTCGAAGAAGCAGGGGTGCACCTAAAAGCTTCTATGCAGCCCTCGCCCCCCTCCCCCCACCTCCCATCTGCGGGCCGCCGAATTCCGAGACTCTGGGAGGCCAAAGCAGGCCTGCGTGCGTGAGGCGGGCGTGTGGGGTTGCTGGGCGTGCGGAGGAAGTGCTTGCCGGCATGCTCGTGAGCATGCCTCAACGAGTTTTAGAGTGGTCGTTTTTGTGTGTGGTCGTCTTGGGCATGGTCGTTCTGAGTATGCCTACGTGCACGAGTTTAGAGTGGTGTTGCCTGCACAATCGCAGGAACGCAAGCGAGGCCAGGACAGGAACAACGTCGGACCAAGACAAATCTGGAATCTCTGAGATCCGGCAGCTCTGGAGAACACATCGGGCGCCGCGGCCATTCTGGAGCGCTCGGGAACGCTATGAGAGCGTTCTGGAACGCTCTGGAACGGTTTATCCTGCAATGCTCGAGCTAAACAGTGCTTTCCGTGTTCGATGTGCTCTCGTTTCCCCTCCTTCTGGCTTCGTTCAGCCTCTGCTGCCACGCGAGCTCAGAACGAGAGCGGCCCCCGAAATGGACAAGACACCGTCCAGATCGCGCCCTGGTTCCCTGGCCTTGGCCCCGCCCGAGCCCAAGGCTGGGCTAACGGCGATGTTGCCTTAACGGCGATGTTGGGAACCAAAGTGCAGGAAATCACGAACCACACCTTCCTACGTTTCCAATCTGCGAGCGGGGCCGAGCAGACACGGCACAGCGACTTGCAGGGATGCGCAGGCCACGCGCTCCCACGGCACCGAGACCTACATCGCCGTTGCCTACGTCACCGTCAGTCAGGAGGCGAAAAAACACACAGACACAATTAATCGTCGATTCCCCAGAAAATATGGGAAGTGGGGGGGAAGACAAAAACCCAGAAAATATAGAAAAATATGAAGCATTATTTTATTTGTGCGTATTTACTTGTGTGTTTGTGGGCCCCTTCAGTCAGGCCCGACCGCGGCGAGCGCCTCCACGCGCAGCGGGTCGCCCGGGACGAACAGCCACAGGAGGGCGCCGGCGAAGAGCAGCAGCGGGGCCCCCAGGCAGCACAGGTGGGAGCGCCCGCCGCGCGCGGCGCCGCCTGGGGAGGCGGGCGCCGATGCCGCCGCTCCGCGAGCCTCGCCCGGCGTCTTCTGACTACAGGGCAGTTCTTACTACATAGGATTTACAAAAAAATATTGGATGTGCTGTGCATGATTCATTTATCATAAATTAATGCATGAACTCATCGTTGTTTTTAATACTAAATCCCTGCATGCTTCATGCATGATCCGCACGCGGAGCATGTATCAAAAACGGCACTGTAGGTGTACACACACACACGCACACACACGCACACACGCACGCACGCACGCACGCACGCACGCACGCACGCACACACACACACACACACACACACACACACACACACACACACACGCGCACACACACACACACACACACGCACACACACACACACGCACACACACACACACATTCACACACACTTTTTTTTTGCAGCCGAAGGCAAGCGCGCCAACGGCGAGTGAGGTCCGAGCGGGCCGCGCGTGGGCCTAATTACCTAGCAGGGGGCAGAGCAGGACCTATCGCCGACGCCTCAGCACTGGAGCAGCAAGAGGAGCCGGGGAGGGGGGGACTGCGAGCTGCCGGGGCTGCCAGGGGGCTGCAAGCGTGCGACAACCTGAGAGCAGGGCCACCAGGGCCACACACACACACACGCACTTTTCGTCGGCAGCTGGGCAGAGAAACTGCGCTGCCGGGCGAAGCGAAGAGGAGCAGAGCGTTACGTGGGCGAACTCAACCGCCATGCGGGAGGGAGGGGAGAGGACGACCAGGCCCGACACACGCACACCACACGCACACGCACACGCACACGCACACGCGCACACACACGCACACACACACACACACACACACACACACACACACACACACGTCAGGTGCACACACACACACACACACACACGCACGCACACAAGCACACACACACACACACACTGGGGAGACCAAGTGGTACCGATACTGCTACTCCCCGGACCTCTCCTGGGGGACCAGGATTCCGAGGCGAATCCAGCAGCGGCGACGAGGGCCTCCCAGGAGGCCCAGAAAGGCGACAAGGAGGGGGGCATTGGCGGTGATGATGCTGCTGCTGATGATGATGGTGGTGATGATGATGATGATGATGATGATGATGATGATGATGATGATGATGATGATGATGATGGTGGTGGTGGTGGTGGTGATGATGATCATGATGATGATAATGATGATGGTGGTGATGATGATGATGACGATGATTTTGATGGTGATGGTGATGATGATAGTGGTGATGGTGATGATGGTGATGATGATCCTGATGATGATGGTGATGATGAGGATGATGATGCTGATGATAATGATGAGGTTTAGCAAGACTGGGGTCCGCAGGACCTGGTTCAGGGATGTGCGCCAGGGGGGGGGGGGGGGGGACGCCACCCCTGCCCCACTTTCACGAACCGCGAACAGAGGCTGCGGCAGACTTGGTTGGTAAGCGTTTTCTGATTCGGCGTTTCGGCATTGGGCGGAAAGGGGGGATCCCAAAACCGTGTGGTGACAGACCGTGCGGTGACCTCGGAACCCCAAGAGACCTCACCGCACGGTCCGTCACCGCACGGTCTTGGGACCCTGGAGACCCCAGCCGCCCGAGACATCCTCGGAGAGCGACCCGAAGCCCAAAACGTGTGCGGTGACCCCGCATCCCCACCGACTCACCACACGGTGTGGTCACCACCCCGTTTGGGGGCCCCCGGGGGGGGAGGCGGAGGGGTCTGGCTCCGGCCCTCGGCTTCGCGCGACTGTCTGTAACGGCGCGTCCTCCGGGGGGAGGGGCCCCGCCTGCGCGAGACAGGCGCCCCAAACAGCCACGATCTCCTCCATGGGGGGACGGGGACGGGGGAGGGGGCGAGGGCCCGCGCCGATCGGCCAAACCATCATATGCCAACAAAAGAGCGACCACGTCGTGACTCCAGCACGAGATGTGCTCGGCCTCGGGGTCCTGCCGCGGAGCGGCTCCCCCACAGCCCAGAGCCCCGGCTGCGGCCCCAAGCCCGTGCTCTCCGCGTGCCGCCGCGGCGGCCCGGGCGAGGCGCGCTCTCCCCCTGCGAGCGGGCGGCGCGTCGCTTCGCTCCGCGGGGCGGGAGGCTGGGCGCGGCTCGAGACGCCGACGCCTGGGGAGGGGGGGCCGTGGACGGCCTGCCGCGCGCCGCAGCGCGCGTGGGCCGGAGCCGGCGCAGCAGCACGCGGAGAGCCAGAGTTCCCGACCGTGCACCCGAGTTCCGGTTGCGCGCGCCAGAGGAGGCCCCCGGGCAAGAGTGGCGCGTGGTGCGCGGTCTGCCGGCCGCCGCGTGCGGTGCGAGGGCAGCGGCACGCGTGCTTGGGCTCGGCCCCGCAGCGCTCCCCGGAAGCCGCGCACCAGAGGTGCGAGGCGGGGATTTATCCATATCCACCGCCTGGGAACCGACGTCCTGGGGACTCAGCGGGCGGCGAATGTAGGTACAGTTTGGCCCCCAGGGCCAGACTGTACACGTACCCACCGCCTGTGGAGGTCCGCGAAAATCGATCGTCCGGGCAGCGGTTATGTACAAATCCCCACCTGGAAACTGGAGGGGGGCCACTCTCACGTGCAGCCGAGCTTTCCCTCCTCCAGGCCGCCGCCGTGGCCGCCCCAGGCGATCGAGCCCTCGGGCACTTTGGCGTAGCCGCCCCAGCTGGCGCGGGAGCGCACCCAGCGGTCCTGGAGGCCGCCGCCCTGGAGCCACCCGGGCCGCGCGCACGTCCTGCCGGCCCTTGGGAGCGGAGAGGGCGTAATCATTGGATTCGAAGCTGGGTTATGCCTGGCCTCAGCTGCAGCCCCAAATGTGATCCAGACGACTATTCACCAAAAAGCGCTTGCACTTAGGAGTTCTTGGCCGGTCTGGCGGTTCTGTGCTCGCCGCCGCCGCCCCGGCGCCGCCCCGTCGCCGCCTGTCGCCTGGGCCGGTTAGCCACTGGCGGCTCCGTGCCAGCCATCGCCGCCTCGTCGCCGCTTCTGGATTCTCCATTCTTAAAAGTATTGAGATGTACCCCCCCCCGGATTCAACCGCCCCCTTTTTCGTATTGCATTTGTCATACGATCCTGCCCCATCGCCTGTCCCAAATATGGATTCAGATGAAGCCGACCAAACCAGTATCGGTTCCCCTCATCATCCTCCGCCAAAAATACTACGCGCGCACTCGTTCATAAAAAACGTATGTTCTTAAACCAAAAACCTGGCAAACAACATATATATACACAAGTGGCACGTGTGTGCCCAGGCTCATACAACAAGCTGAAGGGGCGTTTGAAGCAGGAGTGACATGCAACAGCGAAGTCGCACTCGAGCGCAAGTAGGGTTGCCACACCTTGCGATGTGTGTACCAGGGCCCCCCAGGAAGCCTCAGGAGGCCCGACTTGGATACCAGGAGAGGCTCCAGGAGGCCCCAGGATTGTGAGTGTTGTGTGTGTGTGTGATGTGTGCTTTGTGTGGTGCGTGCTTTTTGCGTGTTGTCGGTGTTGTGTGTGTGTGTGTGTATGTTATGTTTGTCTAGCGTGTGATGTGTTGGGCGTGATTTGTGTCTCTGTGTGTGCATGTAGTTCTGAAGCCCCAGGAGGCCCCAGGAGGCCCCAGGAGGCCCCAGGCGGCCTCAGCAGGCCCAGGAGAACTCCAGGAGGCTCCGAGGCGGGGTCTGGGGTACCAGAAGGTCCAGAAAGCCCCAGGAGGCCCCAGGAGGTTCCAGGAGGCCCCCAGGAGGCTCCGAGGAGGGGTCTGGGGCTCGATTTTGGGAGGATGTCTCAGGCGAAACCGCCATTCTCTGAGAATCGGAGTCAAAATCATTGAAATTACCATGTGTTTTTGAAGGTTTATGATAAAATGTTGGAAATCCTATGTGTTTTTGGACCCTGACGTCACGATCTGCGTGAGGGGTGCCACCGATTTTCAGAATTTCGAGGATGTCCCGAGCGAAACGGCCAGAAAAATCGCGAACGACGGACGCATTAATCGCCTCTGAGCTCTACTCCCTCGGAGAGGTGCGTATGAGAATATATATATATATATATATGTAACGATGTGCACACGCGCGCGTCGTCGCGCACGCATGTCAAAATCACTGTTGAACAAGACGATGTTTATGTGTGATGTATACTGCTACGGCTTCGTAGGGATTTCAAGATCGAGTACCCCGAAAACATTTTTAAAGCACCGGGTTTCGCAATAAGACAGTTTAACCCAAACCTGCGCTCGGGTGCTTGCGAAGTCTTTGTTATATAAAAGTTGATCACCATTTTCATCATTTGCTACCAAATGGGCCTCTCGCGCGCGCACGTCGGAATCGCTCAAAAAAGCCCTTGCGCGCGTGCTGCCGCGAGAATATTTTGCCGAACAAACGAAGTGCACACGCGTCCTCGCGCCCATGCCAAAATCCTTCAAAACCACGGGCGCCGCAAGGATTTTAGCTACACTGTTCCACGCCGATTACGCAACATGTATTGCACAGCATTGACAGCACCACATAAAATGTATCACGTACGTTGCACACGCACCGTTTGGGGCCCACGCTGGCTAACGTGAACTAAGAAATCTGGGCCACTGTCCCGGGGCTCTCTTGAAACAGACCTGGGCCAAGTTCTGTTGTCCACGCTGCTGGCGAATGGGTCGAGAAACGCTGGCCCAGCTCAGCGGAAGGAGGCTTCTCAATCAGACGCTCGACTGTCGCTTAGCATTTTTTGCAAATGCCACGAACGGCTCACGCAGGATAAATATCTGGGCTAAATGGGCGGAGCCCACAAACCGAATTTATCTGACCCAGTTGAGCCACTCTGGGCGCTTCTGACCCACGAATAGGCGAGGCTGGCCGATAACAATCCATATTTGCATTCACGGTAACCACCCTATCAAATTAGCAACCCCCGCGCCCGTTCAACTGGAGGAAGCATTGGAATTCGACAAAACTTCCAGGTTAGAGGTGTGAGGTGTCGGATGTTTTCGTTGGTTCTCAGTGGCATTCCAGCCTCGCCGCCGACTAAGTAACGTTGCCCCTTCTGTGGCAACCCACGGGAGCCTCCGATGTCATCTGGCTCTGTCGAACCGACGATGAGAGACGCTAATCGACACCACTGGACGCTTCTAGACGCCAGATCGACGCGACTCGACGCAGCGACGCCACGTCGGCGTTTCCTCGTCGACTTCCAGACGCGAGCGCACGCCAGGGCTTTTCAACGACGGCCCTGCGACGACACACGAGACGTCCGCGATCTGCGGGCGAACGCTGCCCCTGACCTCACGCTCCCGTCCGGGCTCAGCTC